ACCATCCAGAACTGGGCATGAAATACTCACTCACTAGGTATTTGTTGAGTGGACTGAGTGAGCAAAATGTTACAGGGGTTGAATGGACAATGAATATCATGGAAGGCAAAAGTCATAAAAGTGTCACAGAAACTTAAGGAATATTCTTTTGACCTCACCCTGTACATCTGCTCTAGAATTCCCCATACAGTAGACTCCACTTCTTACTGCTCAATTTCTTATTAAGTTTTGAAATTGTTGAGCAGATTAAAGGATTCTGGTGAAGCTTTTATGCTTAAACTTTGCAGAAAGAACTTCCCCATCTCTGTAACTATTACTGGGACAGATTAGAAATAATTTGGAACTGAATTGGATTTGCCATTTTGTAAGCTTTTCTTATCTACCAGGGCTAATAGCAAACACTTTGCTCCTTATAATAGCTCAGAAGGAAGTCCTATTATCTGCATTTTACAGATTGAAAACTGAGGGTCAGATAGGTGAGAAAGCTACGCTCGCTCCTCTATAAATACGGCTTGAATCAATACAGAATGTTTTGTATCCCATAATAAGTTTGGAAACAGAAATAGCACCAGCTTTGGATTCAGACATAACTGGGTTTGAATTTTAACTTCTACTTAGTAACTGCTTGACCTTGGGCGTGTTATTTAATCTTTCTGAGCTGCTCAGTAATTTCCACTTCAATAATGGGAAGTCGCAGTCATGAGAGAAGTAATCTGGAAATACTGTTTAAAGCACTAAAATCTCACTGGTGTCCACCCCAAGCCTCTCCAGCCTAGGCACGCTCCACTGCTCACCATCCTACGCGTAAACCATCAATGAACAAAAACTAATGCATTTTCTCCTCCCAGCTGATGGGAGCCTTAATTCTGCTGCCCTGGACCCCAACACGCTCATGGGAACATTTTTTATTTGTAACCCAGCTTAATAAAGTATGCCATTTGTTGCGTAACAGTTTTTTTAACGTGACTCCATTTGCTCTTAAGTTTTCTCAGCAGAGTATTCCAGTTGGTCCATTTATAAATGCAACTGTTAAATGCAAACGCATACAAGAACTGGGTGAACACCCCATGGTGCTGAGTGTAAAGGCTAAAGCAACATAAAGTATTTAACATGGCACGAGGTGTCACCTGAGTGCTGCTCAAGTCAGACGGGCTCTGACTGAGACACACCACACAGTCCTACTTTCCCTCATGATGACAAGACTTTCTTCGGATTCAGGAGAATTCCGTGGACAGGGAATATTTCACTGAGCTGTGGGGAATCTCTGGATCTGGGCAGGTCTACTGCAGGCTGAGCAGGGACCAGCCCATGGCCATGAGGAAATTACCAGGAACTCCAGGATATAAGCAGCGAATGACAGCAGAGGTGGGCATGGAGGGCAGGGTGGGACGCAGGAAGGAGAGCCTGGCTCTGCTCGTGCCACCTGCGAAGGCCTGGCAGATGAGGCAGCATGAGAGCTTGGCCGAGGACTGGGGAACATGCTGGGAATCACAGGCACTGAGGAAGGGCTTCGATCGCAGGGAACACCAGCACAGATGAGGAGCAGTGGGACATGGCACGCCTGTGGCCAGGGGAGGCAGCCTGGTGTGGCTGTCCTCGGGGGAAGCGTCATCCTGCACCTTTAAGAACAGTGGAACTGTAGTGTAGGGATTGTGGGTTGAGGAAGTTCCCTTCTATTTCTAATTTGCTGAGTGCTTTTATTGGAAACAGATACAGCACATCGTCAGATGCTTTTGCTACATCCATTGTTGAGAAGCTGGTATGGTTTTCCTTCCTAGTTTGCTGATCCTGAGAATCACATTTGTTGTGTTTCTAATGTTAAAACCAGCCTTGCAGCCCTCAAATAAACCCCACTTGGTCAATATTCTACATATTGTTGAACAGGACATGCTAAAATGTTTGCGCCTGTGTTCAGGAGTCCTTGTGGTGCTGCTGTTTGCACAATCCTCTGGCTCTGGTATCAGGGCCATGCTGACCTCACAGAATGCTTAGGAGCATTCACTCTTCTTCAAGTTTCCTGAAAGCAGAGTTTACATAAAATTCATATTATTCCTCCCTTAAATGCTTCATAAAATGCATGGTGAAACCATCCAGCCTGGAATTTTCTCTGTGGGAAGGTTTTAACAAAAAATTCTATTTCCTTAATGGATATAAGGCTATTCAGATTGCCTATTTCTTTCTGTGAGTGGGCCCAACAACCCTGTGAAGGAAGCATCATTATTCTACTTTACAGACGGGGAAACTGAGGGTCAGAGAGGCCGTACAGCAGACCCGGGCTTAGAGGAAGATTATTTCTAACCTGCATCCACTTCACATAATCCCTGTTCAATCCTAGGGGACCCTCCACACAGTGTGCAGAAACACCACTCAGGACCTTGGATAGACACCCCGGTGCCAGCTGGGCAAGGAAAGAAGTCTTCCCAGAAACCTGAATAAACACGCACTCCCTTCTCCCACTTCTTCAGGGTCTTCCTAGAAGCTGCTTTCACTGAATCTCTTGTTTCCATGACTACGTCATTCCTGGGTGATAGTTTTACAGGTTGAGCACGTTTCCAATTAAATCTCATCATTCCTGCTTTGGGGAGAGGAGCTAGGTAAGGAGCTAGGCAGTGCCACGAGGCCCGCGAAAGGTGCCCCACAGCAGCCCCCAAGCCCTGGCTCACAGGAATCCCACTGAACCGCAGTAGACATGTTCTGGCATCAGGGGGATGCTGCGTCAATTCCGTTTTGAGCTCCCCACCACCTTCACCAACAACAGACCACAAACAAAATTGCTCCCACACACCCCTCCCTGCTGCCTTTGGGGGCACAGGGTCTGTCACCTGGAACACCCTGCTCAGAGTCTGGGCATGGGATCCCACCCTACTCAGGGCCTGAGTCCAGTATGAGATTAGAAGGAACATGGATTTGACCCCGGATCTGGCACCACTAACTCCCTGAACCTGGGCAAGTCATAGAAGGCCCTTAAATCCCAGTGTCCCACTTCCTGACAAAGGTATTTGCAAACGTTGAGAAAACCTATGAACAGAAAGCGCTGAGCACAGCCTCGGCCTGCAGAGGACATTCCATTAACGTCAGTTCCTTTCCTTCCAGGTATCTGGATAAGAAACTAACCAAGCAGGTCCCAGCCGCGAGGAAAGCGGCAGGAGGTTCAGCCTGACCGATGGACGGGCACAACAGGACACTGGGACAGACAGAACCCATAAACTGCCAGGGCTGGTGGGGTCAAATTGAAGGCCCTGAAAGTAGGATCAAGAGATCAAGAGACTTTGGGACTCTGTTCAGAAGTAAAATCCAGGAGAGAGGTGGAGGGAAGGCGGTGTCACCCTGCAAAGGGTGGGGACTGGAGGGACTTAGCAGTGTCACATCCCAGTCGGGAGCCTGGGTGCCCTCGCCTACTCAGAAAGTCGTCATGAGAAGTTGAAAAATCAATGCACAAGTACCCGACACCCAGGATGTACTCAGTAAATGGTAACTGCACTTAAATAATTATATTTAAATGCATTTGCAAGCATTCACCTACATCAATACACATTTATAATCATTAAAAAACATTCAGCCTTGCAACTCCCAACTGAAGAAAAAACTGATGCCACAGCCACCACTACCCAACCAAGCAGGAAGGATGAAACCCTGATTTTGAAATCTGACTGTAAAGTACAGGAGTTTATCCCAGGGGAGAAGGCTGCCAGGGGAGGAGCTGAAGTGCAAAGGCAAACGTGGGGATGCTGAGAGGCCTGAACACCAACGAGAAACACAATAACAGGCTGTTGGTTATCATGAGGCTGCAGGTAATGTGACACCCAGGGCGCCATGAGGACGTCACTTCTCCAGCTTCTCCTCCATCACCCCCTGCCACAGATCTCCTGCCACCAGCTTTGAATGCCACATAGTGCCATGCCTGAGTCATATTATTCAGCCTCCACCTTCGCCCCTCTGGTGGGAAGCATCACCCACGTCCCTGTGCCCTTGGCTAACACAAGGCTTTGCACAGTGACCAAGTAGAGTGGAATACTCCCAGGACGGAGAGCACCAGTTACACCAGCCACCTCTTCACTGCAGGGCCCTAAAGGGAGAAGACTCACCCTGAAGCCCAGCTCCTTACAACTCCAGTGAGACTCTATCCAACAACATCTACTCATTCCTGCCTGCAGACAGCCCCTTATCATTTTCATCAGAGCAGCCCCAATTCCTCCAAATCCGTCCTTCCACTGACTCAGGACCAGCTTGGCCCAGCTCTCCTGGTTGGTCTCATCAGTCACTGCCTTTTTCAAGGTTTCCGTCAAGGTTGTGAGCAGTACCCCAGAGTCTGAGCCTGAACGGTCGCATGCTACACTGAAAGCCGTTTGGGTGACTTTGCTGCCTGCCCCGAGTGCTAACTGCTACGAACTCCAGTCCTCTCACCCTGACAGTGCCCCTGGGCAGGCTCAGACAGGCAGAGCCTTCCCCAGTGCCGGTGACCCGAGACCCAGAGCTCTAGTTCAGACAGAGGGAGTCTGTGGAGACAACCACCTATGCTCACCTGGAAGTCCCAAAGCACCTCAACTTTGCACTGCTACCCACCCGCTCCCTGTACATTCATCTGGCTTCCTGGGTGTTTATAAACCAGTGAGGGGAAGGAGTTGCCGAAGGAGTAAGAAAAGTTTACGGGATAAACATCTGAATTGGGAATAATGAAACAATAAACACGCCTTTTAAAGAAGAAAGAGGCAGGGAGCAGCCTACTCAGCCAGCACTCCCTGATTGAACCCACACATTCCCAAGATTTCGTGGAAACAAGAGTCAGCAACACCAAGACCCGGTGCAGGCAGGCCTCAGAGGAGCTGCCTCCCCAACGTGGCACAGATGGGACACACTGAGAGGCTGCTTCCCAAGCACAGCTCTGCTGCTGCACGCACGCCTCCTTCCCTTCCTGAGAAACACCCAAAACTCTGCCTCCAAAAAGGCTGGGCGGGAGCACCAGCCCTGTGGCCAGTGGCACACGTGTGGGGCCGACTCACCTTCGCGAGGCTCGGGTCCCCGGGCTTGCTGCCCTCAGGGGGGTTCGCTGCTTTGCTCTCCACTCGCGGCCTCACGACCTGTCGAAAGGGGCTGCACAGGGGAAAGCCACTCACACTGATTCCATCTGAAAGGGAAGAATAGAGGCTGTAAGTAAGAGGACAGCTGGATTTTTAATGTAGGAGATTTTGTTCAGAAATAAGTAGTAAGTTGAAAGAACACTCCAGTCTCTCTTCACTATTCCACCCCGTGTTCATTGCCAGAGTGCTCCGTGAATGTGAAGTCATACCCACTGTAGAGAAAAGCTGAGTGGAGAGATGCGGCCTGGCACTAAATTTCCCAGAGGTGCCTGCAAATTCCAGAAGAGATGACCAAGGGCTGGGGATGTGAGCAGGGCCTCTGACATCTTCACAGGACCAGATGAGGAAAACACTGGCACTGATTGTCCCCCAAGGAGATGGGGTGCTAAGTCCCGGAAGCTTTGGGTGGGGCCCCCAAAGGACAACACCCTAAGTGAAGGGTAGACTGGAAGTAAAGCAGCCTCCCAGGGACCACAGCCCAACTCTGCATCATGTCAGTCCTGCTACTGGATTTAAGTAATTCTGCCAAAACTATATCCTTTGTCACCTCTACTCTGCCTGGTGTCTTTGTCTCAGGTCAGCCCTTGTCAATTCTGAGCCCATGCTCCCTGCATGCAGCCTGTATCCAGGAAGACAGGTTGCATGTTAGGGCCATGGGTTGGGGGTCCTACCACCGGGGACCTGATTCCCAGCTTCCCCACCATCCGGCTGAATGGCCCCAGCGAAGTTCCTTGCCCTCTTTGCACTTTAAGTTCCTCAACCCTAAAGTGGGAACAACTGCAGCACACAGGCTATAGGATTGTCTGGAAGAGTAAATGAGTCCCTGCATATAAAGCACGTATCCCAGTGCCTGGCACCTGGCAAGCATTCAGCAAAAATCGCTATTATTACTACAGCAACTTATGCATGTCTTAGATTCCTCACTGACTATAAACTCCAGGAAGACGGAATTCTTGTCACTTTCACTACTGGATCCCCCACAGTAGCTGGCACAGGCTCTAGCAGATCTTAAACCCTCAGTAAAGAGTAAGTAAATCAAGGGGTCGCCCCAGTTCAGTTGGTTGAGCATCACCCCATATTCCAAAAGGTGGCTGGTTCAACTCCCAGTCAGGGTACATACCCAGGTTGAGGGTTCAATCCCTGGTCAGGGCACATGCGGGAGGCAAGTGATCAATGTTTCTCTCCCCTCCCCCCTTAAATCAATAAAACATCCTTGGGTAGGGATAAAAAATTTAATTAATAAATCGTGGGGTTGAGTTTGATACTTATTTCAGATGCCGTGATCAACAATAATTACCAGCATCCCAAAGTCACATTCAACAACCAACTCCTGGTTAAATGGGATTTCACCATGCATCTCTGTGTAAAACCCATTTGCAAAGTCTCAACCCCAAGCTGTTAGGTTTGAAAGGGTTTTCTTTCTCCCTTTTCTCATTCTCCCAGCACATGGACACAGCACACAAAACCACTCCCTGCCCTGGGTGCCTGCCGTGAAGGAGCTAGCATTATAAACAGACATCTGCAAAACACAAACACCACACTTTCCAGCGGCCACCCTAGAAACGATCCCATTTAGGAAGGCCAGTGAACAGCACTCGGCGCTCAACCTCCAGGTCATCCTCCGCCAGTTGAGGCCTGGCGCCTGGAGGGATTTCAATGCCACCCCCCCTCGGCCTGGGACATAGCGATGTCGCTCTTCCCAGGGGAACGCTCCATCGTTAGCACGCTGCACAAACACCACTGGCCGCTGAAGGATGCAGACTCCTTTTGCCTTGGAAATGCCAATCCTGTTTCACACTGATAGCAACGCTAAGGCTTCATTCCTGCGAGAGCTCCGAAGCACTGCACTGTCGTGGACGGCGTGGTGAGTGGCCGCCACTGTCTGCCCAGCACTCCTCTTCCCCTTACACAGCAGCTCCTTCTCCAGCCCCAGTGGTCCTGGTGGGTGAGGGGTGGCCCTAATCCTGCATGGTCAGGGATGGAAACGTCTCACCAATAGTGACTGTTCCAGAGGACAGAGGCACAAGAGGGGTCACACAGAGTCTTTCTAAGAGATTCATCTATGAATCTGGAGGGTTCTTCCTTGAATCACATGCTATGAAGATATAGGTATGGGCCTTCCCTGCAGCCATCCTTCCCACCACACTGAGAGACTCTAAGCAAGTCACACAACCCCACGGATCTCGGTTTTCTTGCCTCTAAAATGGGAGCCAACTCCAGGGAATCAATGAAAAATAGAAATCCACAATGCAAAAAAGGCTAAAGAGTACATATGAAATATGCCTCCTTTTTGGACACAGACCTCAAAGCCTCAAAGGGACCACAAAAACCTGAAATCTTTAAGCTCATAAAAACAACAAAAGAGCTGCATTGTGGCTTCTTTATAGGCTAAAGAATTCTGCTGTCGAATCTGATTGGAGGTGGAAAGGACAGGTAATGTATAAACGGGGAAGGCCCAGCCTTTGGAAGGGTGGAAGATGCGCCCTTGGCCCAACAAGGCAGGGTCAGAGAGCAGGAGGGGCAGCTGCGGAGGCTGGTGAGGGGGCAGGAATCAGCACAGGGAGTAAAGAAACAAGTCACTATGATGCCGGAGGAGGCAAAGCTCTCCCACTGGGCAGAGTGGCGGGGAGAGGACTCCGTTCAATCACTGGGCTGGTGTTTCTGCCAACACAGGCTGTCACAAACAGAGCCAAGAGCAGACTGGGATGGCAATAAATAAGAAGGTAAGACCAAAAAGTTACAAACAGAGGAAGGCAGCCTAGCAGGAGGACCGGAGTCGGGAGGGCTTAGGAGGACAGGGTAACTAAGAATAATAGGGGTCTGGGAGATCACTGGGAATTAAACTGAGCTTTTAGGGAGAATTTCATAGTTACTGTTTATAGTGCTCAATTTTCTATTAAGAGCATCTCTGTGGGCAACTCAGAAACACAATTTTTTTGTGCTAAAATGATGCCTCTCTTGAATTCAGCTGTATCACAACCGCGGTGACGACCGGGAGAAATGACAGCTGAAAGCGGGGTTTGTGCGGGAGAAAGAAAAAGCAGTCACAATAAAAACGGCCCTGCAGGAGGGGTTGGCAGCTGAGTGTTTACTATGTGCTCGGCACAGCCCAGGGCATGTAGTGCATGCCATCTAACTGGTCCTCACTCCCTGCAAGGCAGGCATTACTTCACCAATTATGTGGGTGAGGAAGCCGAGATTCCAAGGAGATAAATAGAACTGCCCAGTTCAGCAGAAGTAGAGCCAGACCAAGAACTTGGGAGTGTGGGGTTTGTGACTACCCAGCAAAACTGGGACAAAGGACACATTTCAGTCCTAACAGGAGCTTCTGCAAAGCCTTGCCAGTCAGGCTGTTCTGCAGCGCACCAGGCATCACACTCAACCTAGCATGAGGACCCTCCACGGCTTAGCATCCATCTCCCATGATGGGCCTACTCAAGGACTAGGAGTTTCTCCAGACGAGAACAAAGATTCTCTGTATCAACAGTTCCCAAACTTGGCTGCACTTAAGAATCAGCTGGAACACTTAAAAACCTGATGTCGGGTCACATCCCACGCTCATTAAATCACAGTGTCTAGAGTGGGGAGGCAGGCAGGGTTTGCAAAGATCCCCAGGCGATCCTAGGTGCAGAGGAGTTTGAGATCCACTGGTCTATACGCAAAGGCAGGAAGCACAGTGGGCACAGCAAATCAGAAAAACACACAAAATTCAGTAAACTTTGTCATCATTGGGGTTAGGTCTTTGCCTGGTGTCCACCTCAAGTACATATCGAGTTAAAGTATGAAGTGAAGTAGCCTTAAGTAGATGTACGATGCAACTGCATGTGCACCTGCCCATAGATGAAAACAGCGAGCACAGAGAGACTGCTGTGGGAGGTGGACGGGGGGATTTATGAGAGCATGTGAAATCACACCTGAAATTGTGTTATTAGAGAGCATGCTAAGTTTATTGTACTTGACAGATGAGTGTATTTAGTCAAAGTTACTTTGATTTCAATGTTGGAATAATGTCTCTTTTTCAATGTGTTTGTAATTTGTGCTATTAATGGAGGTATTCTTGGACTGCAGGGGTTATTGTCCATGTGTGATTTTATTTTATAGAATCATCAAATGTGATACAGCAATTTTTACAAGAGATATTTAGATAATTCTAATATGTGTATATGACAACCTATTAAAGTGTTTTGCATTGGAAAAAAAAACAAAACTGCGAGTAATTCAGTATTTCCGGAATATAAACTAAATGAGGGAGGAGGCAGGGCCAGCCCCCCATGAGCCACAACACAGAGACTTCGCCCAAGGGAAATGCCACTATACCACAGCAGAGGGACATAGCAGATTCTGCTTTGAAAAGAGGCCTGATGGGAAAAAGGGGCAAACAAGCAGTTGGATATCAAGTATAAGACAACTAAAATGGTAAACCACTGAAAGTGGTCAGGGCTGCAGTCAGAGCAGTGATGGTGGACAGAGACAGAAGGGCTGGAAATACGTATCGAACAAAATTGACAGGATTGGGTGCAATCAACAGCATGAGCTAACAATAAACTGACTTGTAGTGATCCACAGAAGTCGTCCCTTTCTCTCTGAAAAAAACAAAGCCTTAAATACCTTCTACTGAGCGCCTACCTAATTTGCTTCCGAGTGAATCCCCACCGGCTAGATTGGGAGGCAGTGATGAGAGCAGGGAGCTTGGCGGTGCAGACGACTTCCGCTCCAGCTGTCTGTAACACCATCACCTGTTGCTGATGCATGGCAAACACCTGGATTTTCATTCTCTGCTGGTGGTTCAGGAAGTTATTTCCCCACCTGATTTAAATCAGAGGCCTGCATCAACCCTCCCACCTGCAGGCTAACAGTGGCCCAGGGATAGGCGTACCCTCAGTTACTAGACATATATCTGGGCAAGAACTCAGCTTGGGGTGTTGTGCTTTCCGGCCCACTCAGACACATGCTCCCAAGGGCTCCAGGGAAGCAGGAGCTCGACCTTCCCCTGGGCTGTTTGTGAGTCAGAAGGCCGGTGGGTGAGACAGGCTAAATGTAAGAGCAG